AACCAACTTTTGCTGTTACTTAATTGGCACCGAGTCCTGCCCTCATTTCAAAGAAAAACAGAGAATAAAATGGGTTTGGCCACCTATTAGGAATATCACCAAGCCAGCCAGCATTGAGAGCCTACAAAACCAAGTACTCAGGCTATTATAGGAAAAGGAAGGTCAAGCAAAAGGTGAATCGAAGGAGTTAAAGAAATCCTGAGAAATTATAATATCCCAATTGTAAGAGCTGCGGGGATGGCCTACCATAGAAAACTGCATCTCCCCATCACGCTTAGCAGCAACGGAGGATGAAAAAAGGTAAGTAAAAGTAAGTATGTTATTATTTTGTTGTTGTTTTTGTTGTTTTTAAATTGTTGTTGTTGTTGTTGTTGTTGTTGAATTATTGTTGTTGTTATTGTTGCTATAGTGCTGGGGGTTTTTTTGGGGTTGTTTTTTGCCTCTGCCGATGAAGTAAAACGTCAGTCCAAACATCAGTCATTTGGAAGTCATGTTGACGCACTGTTGTTAAGAAGGAGTCTGGACGACACATCAGTAATTTTGACAGTCTCGACACACTGCATGTCCTTCACCCGAAAGGAGTTAATAAATCTGGCAACTTGAGCATATCGGTTCAGAAGAAGACGGACACCTGTCTCCAGTAGGACACGTTATGGTAGCGCACTGTATCAGAAATTATTATCTCTACTCCTTTCACCGTTGCGATATATAACAATGATATAGACATTGAAGGGAAACGAGATCAGACACACTGCCCAGGACGTGACAAGTCTGTCGTGACGTTTGTGTGCAAGTACAAAATTCATGCGTAAAAACAGTTGTAATTCGATGACTGTGCTCTATAATATTATTATCTCTCCACCCGATATCTCCCAGAAAGCCGCGTTTAGTATGGCTGAACAATAGACTTGAGTTATGATATTAGACCGAGCACTGTCACGTCCGCCGTTCTTTGCTCTCAGTGACACTTCGTTGTGGGTGCGCAAACGAAGGGCAAAATACAAAAGTTTCACTATTATCGAGTCAGTGAGCAACCGTTCCCTCTTTGCCCTTCATTTCGGTTCCAAAATAGAGTCAAATAGAGTGCTTCATGGTGAACCGGAAGTACGCCAGAGTGCATAGATCTAGTCTTGGATATCATAATACAAGTCTATGGACTGAACCCAATCAAAGCATACAGCTTTTCCCGCACAGATGAAAATATTCTTCGACCAAGTCCACGAACCAAGACTCTGTATTTCAAACCAAAACGAGTGTACGTCAAGCTAGACTCAGTGTTTGTTGTTTCAGGGGCCTCGATTTCTATCAGGAGCGAGCCTTGTAGGGAGGTAGATCTTCCGTAGCCTCTGTATAACTGGGTAGACCAGTATCTTCTTCCACAGAGTTGTGGCCGCTGTACGCAGGAGGGGGCGTTCGACAGTCGATGGGTGGACTGGAGTATGAATTTTGGTCTGCAAAATAATACATGGATGCGAAATCATCTGAGATTTACTGCATGATTCTTGCAAATTCATGTTCATAGTCCAAACAGTGTATAATCATACTGGTAGTGGACATAATTTGATTAACGTTAAATCTAACAAAACTATTTAACCAGTCAGCAAGTATGGTTGTAATGTTTTGCCACCACAACCACCATTAGTACTAGCAATACGTAATCTTTCAAAAGTAACTTTTCATTAGCAAAAGATTCCAGATAGGAAGTATTTAAATTTAAGAAGCAGCCTGTGTTAATCGGAATTTGGTAACATGCAAAGAGCTAAACAGTGCAGACGAATGTAAAACAATGGATGGATGGTGCTGTAATACTCAAGTTCCAGATTCGCTTTGAAGGGTTCCTCTGGGGTTTTTTTTTCGAGGGAAGTAGAGAAGGAGTATATCCGGGGGGGGGGGGGGGGGTGGTATGGACATAGCCATGCTGTGTAGATGGGGGAAAGGGTGGGGAGGGTGGGGGGAAGGGTAGCGATTGTTCGCGTCTCTCAGAAAGATGGTGAAACTCCCATTAGCCTATAGTGAGGTGCCATTTACCATTAAACAGTATCTATAATATCGTATCTGGCACCATTTTTGTTCCTGGAGCCTTCAGTATTTACTTCACGATCTCTTCCAGGCCGATGTGTTCTCCTGAGATCCGAATATGGAAAGAAATGGATCACCTCTCTCCAAGCAAAGCTTAATACCCTAACACACTGTAGAGGGAGACTCCCTTAAAAAATGCAGATAGGTGGGTGATATTTGTGTCTAGTAGGCCTTATCATAAGTGTTGTTGATTTACGACTAATTTGCGAAGGTGCTGTAGTATTCGAATGAAACGCATTGCAAATGCGTGCGTGAGTATGTTTGTGTGTTGATATATTTCTAGTCTGTCTGTCTGTCTGTCTGTCTGTCTGTCTGTCTGTCTGTCTGTCTGTCTGTCTGTCTGTCTGTCTGTCTGTCTGTCTGTCTGTTTTTTTGGGGGGGGGGGGACCCACAATCCCAAGGCCCTTTTTTGGTGTGAAAT